ATATCAAGGAAGTGGGAGGAGACAAGCCTAGAAAGATAAGATTGAATAGTGGCCCCAGAAAGGCCTTGTGCCAAAGAAGACAGATTCTTCTATAAGTACTGGGACATCACTGAAGATTTAATAATGTGTATTTTAGGAGGATCAGGCAACACTTACAAACACCGAATGAGATGGGGAAAACTACTGATATGAATATGTGAGAGGCTTTTGCAATGGACCTTGACTGGACCAGGACAAGGGTTACTGAGATGGGATGCAGGAGATGGGTATGAAAGACACTACAGCTTAGCTGAGATGTTGGCAATTTTTTCTGTATTTGGTGTTGGCCAAACAGTAAATTTTTTACGCTCTATGGTCTCTGTTAGAGTCGCTCAATTCTGCCACTGCAGCTGAGAGCAGCCACAGATAGTACATAAATGAATAAATGAAGCTTTATTTCAACAAAACTTTATGTATGGACACTGAAATTAGAATTTCATATAATTTTTATGCCCATGAAGTACTGTCATTCTTTGATGTATTTCAACCAGTAAAAAACAAAACAAAACAAAACATAAAAACCAATCATAGCTTGTAGGCTGTACAAAAACAGGTAGTAGACCAGCAGGCCTTATTTTGCCAAACCATGGCCTAGCTGGATACCATACTCAGATCTACTAATCACATCAGCATTTTGAACCTTTAAGCATCCTGTCGTGGGATAATCTCAGAATTATTAAATCACCTGATTTTATTCTTGGCCAGAACTGCAAGTACCTTGAGTAATAGAATCCCATTCATAATTGTTTTTATTCCTCGCGGAAGACAATACTGAACATATTCATATCAGTCTGTTTACTTCTGCTTAATTGATTTAATAATGGGTTCAAGGTAAAATTATAGAGAAAAAGTATTCACGCTGTTAACCAACTTCAAAAACATGTCATTCTGACATGCTTTACTTCTCTCAGACAGCGTCTTCATAAATTGTCACTGTGCCTCACACTTCAGGAGAATGTAGACTGGCTCGGGCATACAAGCTGAACAACTGGCTTAGCAGTAAAGAGACAAGTGATTCAAAGAAAACACACTATGCAGGTGACATACTTTCAAAGACTTCTCACTATGTCTATGTATAGAGATTCCATCTCAATTGCATACAGAGCAAAAGCTATTCTTTCCATAAATGCCACCATAAAACTGAAGTTATGGTTTTTTTAGAATTAGCACATCCTTTAGGCAAGGCAGGGCTGGAGACAGTACCAGTCCCCTACTGGTGCAAATACACAGGGGACTGGTGCAAATACACAGCATTGCATTTACTGAGGTTACTTCTACAATATTTCCAGGACCTCTAGGTAGTTTCAACAAATGTAGCACTAGACGATCTTGCTGCTGCTTCCGACTCCTGCCCCTCATTAAACCATATACTTTCACATACCTTCCCCGCCCCCCACCATAACTGAGGCTCGTCCTGTCTTCCAAACTAATGCTCCTGAGATATTGCTGCTTCCCTTCCTCGGGTGTCTGAAACATAATATCTAATGCTCTAGTATAATGACTCATGAATGGGTGAGGAAAATTATAGGATAAAGACCAGTCTAAAAATAAAAACTTAGTTTTCTGCTTCTAAAAACTGAGTAAGAAGTGTGATCAATGATATAATGTTGAAGTAACATAAAATAAGGGATACAGAGCCAGAGTTGCTGTGATCAAAAGCTTCCCCTTAAATATTAGATAGTCCAGTGCTACCCTTCACCACTCAGATGTTTTCCCTAGTCCAAATCCCCATTGCATGGCTTTGAACAACTCTTAATCTAACTCTAGAGGAATCTAATTCTATAAAGATAGGCTGGCATATTCGAGGATAGAAAAAAAGAGAGGTTAATCATGTTTCGGATAAATTAAAAAAGGAACAGTTCTTAAGGGAAATGAAATCCAGAGCTCCGTTCCTTAGAGTCTTAACAAAATACGCTTTCCCCAAAATCAAGCTCAATATTAAAAGTTCAAACATAAGTGTACCTAAAAGTACCTTGCATTCCACCATCTATTACTTCCTAAAGCTTTACGGTAACTTTTCCACTTGCACCCTAAGAGCACCTCTTTACCAGGAGCAATGCTATCACTTCCTGGTGTTTTCCAGGCACTGTAACCCCGGTCATTCTCCAACTTTACCGCTACCAGCAGCCTCTACTGATCACTTGTTACACAGGCAGCAAACCACAGCAGGTAGACCCCTCTTAACAGGGAAGAGATATACTTGGGTCATGAGATGAGTGTTTGCCCGGGGCATGTTGCTTGTTCCAGCCTGTGCGGCATCACTGATGAGCTCAACACCCACTCCTGACACCTCCTTCCTAACTTTGGTTACTTATTCCCCCAGGATAATAGCTTTTGTCAACAGAAACTATTGCCACCAAGTCCCAGAAGTTTGGAGTCAAGAAACCCCGACATTGGTCCCAGCTCTGCTACTTACTGATGGTTTGATATGGACCGAGTGATTCAAACTTTCTGGACCTCAGGTTCCTTATCCATAAAGACAGGGATAATTGCTGTTCTCAAGGGGCTATTAGGGAGACTAAATGAGATTATGGTGGAGCACTCTGCCAAACAGTGAGAGGTGTTCTGGGTTGAACGGAGCAGACTAATGAAAACTCGCCCAGACCTCAGGCCCCTGAAAATGATCCTACCTTGCTGAGGTATGTGCGGAAGTAAAAGCTGGGAACAAAGTAAAATGAGGATGGGGATAAAGAGAAAAGGTTAAAGTAGGCAGTGGACGGAGAAATACAATCGAATGTTTTATGTGTTGGGGGTGTGGGCAGTTGATGGTAAGACATAGCTCTAAAAGCATACCAAATATTAAGCAGTATTCTACAATCCAAATGCTTTAATCAAGTGGCTAACGTTTTCCCTACATTTTATAAAGTATTTTTTTCAGTTTTTGTGGCCAAATTTCCATGAAAGAGTAATACTTTTGGTCTTATTTCTCCATGTAAACATTCTCTCACACCAGATTTCATTCCAAGGATGTTCAAGAGACCTGTTGGTTCAAATATTTGTGTCCTCTGTTCTCTGAGCACCAGACCCACAAAAATGAAGGCACAGCTGAATTTAGATGTATCAGTCATTATTAAAATGAAATATGCCACTTAATCTCAACCAACCGTAGAAGGCAAAAGAGGAAGAGAGACTGGAAGATCTGCCCAAACACTAACAGTGGTTACCTCTGAGTGATGGAATAAAGGATGACATTTTCTGCCACATTATACTCTGTACAATGGTCATTCTGTACAATGACCAAATTTTCTACAATGATCCATTGGGTTTGGTTTAAAGAGGGGCACAAAAGAACAAGTACTACCCTTTGTAGATGGGAACTTCTATTTGCTAACAGATTGGCCCAGAATTTACTGCTATGAGATTTTTGCTTATGTACTTGTGGTGGAAAATGTCTAATCATCTTTATTTTAAAACAGACTTTTAGGGGCGCCTGGGTGGCTCAGATGGTTAAGCGTGTGCCTTCGGCTCAGGTCATGATCCCAGGGTCCTGGGATGGAGCCCCGCATTGGGCTCCCTGCTTGGCAGGGAGCCTGCTTCTCCCTCACCCTCTACTGTTCCCCCAGCTTGTGCTCTCTTGCTCTCTCTGTCAAATAAATAAATAAAATCTTAAAAAAAAAATAAAACAGACTTTTAACACAGGCATGGCCCTCCAAAATAATCTGCAACAACATCCGCTTTTTTAAAGATGCAAAAATTAAGCCAGAAGGTTGAAATGATTTGTTTAAGATTACACAAATAGCAACAGCTTCAACACTAAAACCTAGGGGTCCTGACTTCCAGCTCAGAGCTCCTTCCATTACACCATTCGCTTTAATTATACTTCTCTAAAGTCCACCACTGTGGGGATTAAGGAGTGCACTTGTGATGAGCACCGGGTGATGCACGGAAGTGTTGAATCACTACATCGTACCCCTGAAACGAATATAACACTGCATGTTAACTAACTAGGATTAAAAATAAAAACTTAAAGTAAAAGAAGGCCCACCACCATATGAGGGGCATCTATGGTGTGTGAGGTGCTCCAGGAAAACAAAGATGGATAAAACCCAGTCCCTGGCCTCAGGGGAGAGAGTTTTAAACCAAAGTACAAGCTGACATGTGTTCTGCTTTCATTACAGAAAACTGTAGTACTGCCTGGTGAAAGATGCCATTTGACTTTTTTTCCCCAAAAGTCTGCATTCGGTCAGTTCGCATTCTGGTATCACTCACAAGCTGTAAAGCCTCCATAATTTGGAAGGGAGGTGGTAGGGGAAGAGGAGTATAATAAGTTAGCAAACAACTAATTATCCTTTAACTTTACTTTTTCAAAGTAACTGTGAACTTTACTTCCATTATGCATTTCTCCTGTCCTTCTCTAGTAATGCAGCCCCCATCCCTTTGAACACAGGAGAAACATACTTTTTTTTTTTTTTTTTTTAATTTTTAGTGGTTCTAAGAACCTGTGATCTAGCTCGTTGTGAGAGCTATGTGAAACCATGGCAGATATTCACCTCTTTCTCCTTCCCTGGCATGCAGGGTTTTTTCTCTCTACTTAGACGTTTAGGGCCAGGTCTGCCATCGCCCTAAATAGAGTGGCGTGGCCCTGAAAACACCCCTAGCTTGCTTCCAGGACCCCTCCTCTGCCACACTGCGCCTCACGCGTCCAGGAGAGTTGAGTCCATCACTCCCTCCAACTCCTGTTTACTCTTGCCGTCAAGACACCACGACCAAAGCGGAGTCCTCCTTTCAGCTGACAGATCCGTGCGTCCCAGGAAGGCTTATTCTGAGAAAGGGGCCTGAGAGGGACCTCGGGAGTAAGTGAGGGTGGGAGCTCGAGGGGCAGACGAGCGAGCACCAGATTCCCTCCAAAGACGGAATCGGGGGAGTCAAGAACTGGCCTTCCTGCACTCCAAATTAAAACACCACATCACTTAAAAACAGGAAGGTTCGCAAGAGCAAAATTCTAAAACAAAACCACTCACCTGTAAAGAGGCCACCAGCAGCAGCAGCAGTAGCAGCAGCCGCTCCTCACAGCCGCCAAGCACCCAGCTCCTCCAAGCACCCAGCTCCTCCTACAACTCATCACTGCCGCCGGCATCGACGCTCTTTTCTAGCTCTGGAGCCCGAAGGGGGAGGTCCTAGCGCTCTGCGTATTGGAGGGTCGAGCGGTCACTCATATAAGGCCCCGCCCCACTCCCGGGAACAGGTCGGGGTCTTTTCCGTTTCCCAAATCCCTGGGGTGGACGGCGAGGCTCTGATTGGCTCTCTGAGGAGACGAACACACTCAAGGACCAGTAAAGAGCTGACGTCGACGCTGGTGGGCGGGCTTGGGCCTAGGGAAGTAGAAAAAAAAAACAAAGCCGGGAGCGTCGCCCAGGCGATAGAGGAACCTCAGGCGCGGGGAGCGTTTAAGTCGTTGAAGTGCTAGAAAGCGTTTCGGGTCGCAAAGGAAGTACCTGCCAGTGTAGAGAAGTGTCCGCGGAGTCCAGGGAGTGATGAGGTGATACCTTCTTTTACTCATGGGAAAGTTCAACCTGGGGATGAAGGTGGGAGTTCGCGCGGATGAAAGCTCCTGCTTTCCTTGTGGTTGTCAGTCTTAAATCGTCTTTAAAGAGGAAGCCTTTAAAGTGCCTGTTTTATAGGCAGTAACTTATCCCCCCCTTTCTCTTAGTACTTTTATAGGGACTCCCCTTAGGCAATTCCTTGACACTATTTTGGTTGGGAGAGAAAAGTGATAAGCGGATTGCACTAAAAGCTCACAGTTTGAAAGGAGGATGGAATGGAATGAGGAGGAGAATTATAAAAACTTGGAGGCCACAATTACTGAACAAGAGAAATCCATGAAAATACCCAAAGCCTGGCACTAGGTCCTTTAGGCATCCAAGTAGGCTTGAACTACTCCACAAAACTTTGACGCCAAGTGTCAGAACTCTTGGGTGGGTGAGAAAGATAAGGAATGATATGTTTGTCTGACCACATAGGAAATCGCCCTTCTAGATTTCTAGAAGCCGTTCTACCTAGTGTTTAGTGTCTTCTTTTGAGTTTTTCCTCTTTCATCCCCATAACAAGTTCAGTAGGTTTGTGACCGCCAAGCGTAAACAAACAAATTATAAACATAATTTTGAAAAGATAATCTTTCCACGTTTTAAACTCTGTGACATACTATGTATTGACTTCATTAATGCTTAAGTGTTTGTAGTTAGTTCCACATCCTATTTTTCTGTCTTAGAGTGTAACAGTTCCTCCTGGGATCTCAAAGGACATACCTTCACTTCTGGAAGAACACAGATCCAAGGCTTGACAGGTCCCAGCAGGTGATCGGTCCCACCTTGTGATAGTTGGAATTTTTAACTTGCACAAGATGACTAGAGTCAGGTCAGAGCAACTGGAGGAAGCAGCTTCAAGTCTCGACTCCCAGGAATGCAGCTTCCAAATCTGTACTCTTACTCACTTGTTTTTCCTCTTCTCCATATCAGATGGGGACAAAGTGAGGGAAAAACTTTCCTACTGTAGTGTAACATCAAAGGTCCCTACTCAGTGCCCACCATCCCTACTCTGGAGGATAAAGACAACCATTTACATGTGTCAGAGTCTTAGAGCACTTGACATTTAGGGATACTTACTAGGACTTAAGGGCACCTGCTCATTGGATTTGGTTTTACTGTTGTGGATACCCATGGAATGCTAGCTTGTCATATAGAACATTAACAATATCAAACATCACCTGCCTTTTAGAATGTCATTGTACAGGTGAGCAATTTGAAGTTTAAGAGATTTATTCACAGTCACATAGCTCGTTGAGGGCAGAGCTGTGAGGATCCAAGGTTGCCAATTCACAATTCTGAGAAAATGTTTCCTCTTCCACTGCCTCGTCCCACCCTCCAAAAAAACAATAGTTTTTTTTTTTTTAAACATCAAGATTACTAATATTAAAATTAGCTTCCATTAAGGCCAATCAGGAGAAACTTAATTCTGATATAGCAAACGGTATAGATATGAAAATAACTCAGTGTCTCAGTTTCACTACTTTACTTCCAGCAACTTTTGGTGTAGTCCCACTTTCATCCAAGCAAGAAATGAAAATGCAGTAAGCTGTGTTGTCTCTTTGTTTTTCTGTTATGTGTATTGAAAAGTCAGTGTTAACACATGTGGTACTTTAAAGATTGGTAGCAGATTGTCTTATTCAGGACCTGAATAAAATACTTTTATAATCGCATACATACTTGGCTCAAATAATTTCACAGCTATTTGTACAGAGCCCCTACCTTTGAGGTAGGGTTGAGCCCGTCCACCAAGCATCAAAGCATCCACCGACCTAGGCTATTCTGCCTTTTTCTACCCTGGTAGAGCTATTAGTTTCCTACCCCACGCCCTCCCACCAGCAAACTCCAGAATTCTGTGGCCCTATAGCCAATGTACAACTGTCTCCTTGTCTTCAGGGTATCAGGTCACATCATAATCTGGTTGTTCACTGCTAGTATCTAGTGTCCCACCCCACCCTACCTTCTTCAGATTCAGATTAAAATTTGAATAGGATAGTAGGCTTATGTTTGGCTCCCACCATTGCCCTATTAAGTACAGGTCTCCTCCAGTGAAACCAAAAGTTGGAAATACTCTCAGGGATCAGTCATGTAGACCCACAGAACGGACTTTAAAGGCACCCGTCCCTTCATTTCACAAGTGAAAACATAGAATCTTCATCTCACAGAGTAGTGTGAAGAATAACAGGCAATAAATAATTTTGCAATCTGTGAAGCGCCTGACGTCAGCCATTTTCTAGCACTGGGAACTTAGGCATGCTGCTTGACCACAGCCTACGTCTTTATCCATGAAATGGGGAGAAGCCCTAAGTGACTAATGGAAAAATTCAATGCAATAATACAGTGTCTATGAAAAGGGTTCAATAAATGGTAGTTACTCTTAACAATCACAGTAATGATAAATGTAGAGTGTCCTAGCTACTTAGAAGTACTCTTATTTTAAGAACTCAAAGAAAGTTTGGGCCTTGTGCTTTCCCCTCCTTTCCTGCTCTCAAGCAGAGACCTGAACTCCTGCAGAGGATACAGGAGGTGACTGTCGGGAGGCAAAGGTGGGGAAGGTACAGATCCACCGGCTTGGCCAGGAGCCACTGGTATTGGGAAATCTGAACGATGTGCAATTTCCCTATTCTAAGTCTCAACATTGAGCATCTTCAGGCAGGAAAAGAGCCAGGTTGATTTTTTTTTTCCACACTCAATTCAGGGTGGGTGGGGACCCAAAACTCTTTGAAAGGTGGGACAAGGGAGAAAGGGAGGAAACTTATAGAAAATCAAGAGGCACTTTGCCCCTATACAAATTCTTTACCTCACTGCTGAGGAAAAGGCCACATTTCTTTAAAATGCTTGTTTTTCTGTGGTGATGAACAAAAAGTCACAATTTCTGCCTGGTGGAGTTGTTTAAAAGCTGTATCATATTTACATATTATAACTCTATTAAAAAAATATTACATTTATCGTATAAGGCTTAGAAAAGAAAAAATTTAAAGCCCCCATAACCTTACCACTCAGAATTTATCATTGACAATTTTTATTTCCTTCTGTTTTTCCCTATAAATCAATTATTTAAAAAAAAAACAGGAATCTATAATATGTATACTATTTTACAGCAACATTTACTTCATTTATCATGAACATGTCCCCCTGTCATTTAATACTCTTTTTCCAGATGTAATTCCATCATGTATACCTGCCTTCAAGTATTATGTCTCACTCTTCAACTCATCTGCTGCTCTCGGACATTGAGGGCATTTCAGTTTCTTGAAAAGATTCAGGGATTTAAATGGGCTGCTTCTGTCCCCAAATGACAGGGTGTTCTGGGAATGTCTTTTGAACCAAAGGGATTACCTACTGGCCGCAGTTCTTTTTTGACAAGGCTGATGATAAAGGTGGCCAGGAATTCTTTTCTCTGTGCGGGGTATTGCAGAGCCTGAACAATGAAGCCATGTAAGCCTGAAAGCTCCAGGAAGGAGGGTTGCCCTTTTACTGCTTCTTCCCTCAGCGTTTCTGGTTCTTTAACCTGAAGTAAAGGAGTTTAGGTGACAGAAAATGGGGGGAGGGAGTGGAAGTCAGGGCTCCATTAACAGAACCTCACCAGACTCCTGGCATTTATATGTCCATTTTATAGATGAGGAGAGTAAAGCTCAGAGAATTTGTCCAAGCCTGCAGAGCTAGTTAGAGAACCAGACATTGACTCCTATGCTTGGTTCTGAAATTTGGACTCTTCCCACCAAGCTTCCCACTGTTCCTAAAAGCTGATGGATGTAACTTCATTCTTTTTCTGTGAGGAATTTGTTGTCAATCTTCTAGGATATATTTGTTATCTACTCCCTAAAAAAAAAAAAAAAAATCCCCTACTGTCCAAGAATTCCTTCCATCTGTGGGTTTTCCGAGTTGGCTCACTCTTTGCCTGCAGAATATATCTTCAGGTTTTTTTTAGAGATTTTATTTATTTATTTACTTGAGAGAGAGAATGAGCACAAGCAAGGGGAACGGAGGAAGAGCAGAGGGAGAGGGACATGGCGACTCTGTGCTAAGCACAGAGCCTGCCATGGGGCTCGATCCCACGACCCTGAGATCATGACCTGAGTGGAAACCAAGAGTCGGATGCTTAACCAACTGAGCCATCCAGGGGCCCCTATCTTCAGTTTTTGATGAACAGTCAGATGACTTAGCTTTTTTCCTACATATTGCTTATTTTCTTATATAAGTGACCTTACTGTATATATTGGAAGTTTAGAGTCATAAAAGGAAGCTCTTAAAACCCTGCAACAATTTAACAATATTACACTCCCTTAGCTTTGGGGAGTTATGAAGTATGACTGTACGTGTGTGTGTGTGTATATGTATATATGTATATATGTATGCATGTATATATATGTATATGTGTATATATGGTATGAAATATGACTTGAAGTATGATATATATGACATGAAGAATGTATATAGTAATAAGCCTATTTTTCTGGTTTGGCTCATAAACTGTTTCTGGAGGAAATTCTAAAAAAGTTTTTCCAGAATTGTTTAGAGCCATGAAGCATTCTTGAAATGGGTGTATAACATCCCAATATGACGCTTTTAAGCCCATAATCCTTATTTGGAAGTGTAATTACTAGAACGTTT